TGTTTATTAGTCTCCATAATCCTCTTACTTTTAACTTCGCATGGAGGAGCAGAAGATGAATCCTTTAGGCCTATGCGAGGTGAGGTTGAAACTGAAAATCTCTCCATAAAACCAGGCATCTCAAGGGCTGCCCCTCAGTGAAACTGCATTCTAGAAAAACAGGGAGCAGGGGAGAAAGCCTTTCACTTAGCGAAAAAAATTATGTCACAGAGGAATAAAACCCCTGGTTCTATGCCTTGCACAAGCTTAGGACTGAAATCCCTCATGGTCTAGGAATTCCTACAGTGAAAAAGTAACATTAAGCCGGGCGCGGTGGCTCACGCCTGTAATCCTAGCACTCTGGGAGGCTGAGGCGGGCGGATTGCTCGAGGTCAGGAGTTCGAAACCAGCCTGAGCGAGACCCCGTCTCTACCAAAAATAGAAATAAATTAATTGACCAACTAAAAAAATATATATACAAAAAATTAGCTGGGCATGGTGGCGCATGCCTGTAGTCCCAGCTACTCGGGAGGCTGAGGCAGTAGGATTGCTTGAGCCCAGGAGTTTGAGGTTGCTGTGAGCTAGGCTGACGCCACAGCACTCACTCTAGCCTGTGCAACAAAGCGAGACTGTCTCAAAAAAAAAAAAAAAAAAAAAGTAACATTAAAAATTGGTCCATGCAAGTGCTTCCCGTGTTTGCAGGACACAAAGCTACTGTGGAGGGACATTCCCACAGCACACATCCTGTGTGATTTCTACCAAAGAACAACAAGCCCACAATCAAAAATAACCAAACAGCAACAACAACAAAAAATAACCAAACACAAGGGGAAACAGCCTACCATTAGTGAGGTCCAAAAGACTCTAGAAAATAAGATAAGCCACATCCCCAGTGACACGAGATGAAAGAGCAACCAGAAAAAGACTACACAATTAGTATGTTTAAAGTATTTGAATCATATAATAAATTATTAAAATAATAAGAGAGTAAGATCCAGAGAGAAAAAATATGGAGATTTACAAGATCTAAATAGAACTTCTAGAAAGAGAAAGATATATGGTCCTTGATATTTTGGTGAAACATGGAAAATTTAACATAAGTGTTTACATCTACTTCTGAAATCCCACCAAGATGAAAGTAAAGAAAATTTTTAAAAGGCTTAAACATGTAAGGACAAGACAATAGAAGAGAAGAGAATAAATGCCAGCAAAAATTTAGAAGTGAGAACTTAGATCAACAAATGATAATTGATTTATTGGGTTGGAGACAGCGAAAATCCAAACCCATGGTCTTGATGCTGAGAGTGGGAGTGGTGGGGAATAAAAGAAATCTAAAAAAGAATCAGGGTAATTCAAGCTGCTGAACTGCAGAAAGTCTAGGAATGGTGAACAGCAGGGGCTCTGAAGACAGGGATGGCAGTGGGCCAAGGAAGGAGAATTGGCTGGAAGTCTTTAAAAAGTAAGATTAATGCCCAAATACTCTTCTAACACCCAAGCAGCCAAGTGACTACCTTTAACTCACCAGGCAGAGGAATGAAGGTTAAACCAGACAGGTTCTGAATTGGGGGACACCAGGCACTAGTAAAAACAGAAGAATTAAAAGGAAGTTTACAAACTGGACAGTGAAATACCCCTCCTTCTACTCAGTCCCAGAATGCTGGCACCCAAGTTTATACAAATACCCAAACAAAAATTTTAAAGTAAAAACAGCCCCAAAATACATATTACTTACAAGGAACAAAAATTAGGCACATAGCGGATTCCTCAACAGCAACATTCAAGGTGGGGTGACCAACCATTCCAGCTTATCTGGGACTGAAGGGATCCCAAGAACTCTGGACATTTTAGTGCTGAAACCAGGAAAGTCCCCATAAACTGGGACAAGTTGGTCACCCTAATGCAAGGCAAGAAGACAGTGAAAGAGTATCACAGAAGTATCAAAGAAAAATAACTTTCTCCCCCTGTTATCTCAATATATTTCAGGAAAGATCAAAAACACAACCAGACCTGGCCCAAATAATTTAAAATATAATATCTATCTCTCAGGTTAATTTAATTTGCAAAGAGAATCATTCATAAATCAATGTTTCCCCCATCCATTCACCCTCCCTAGCAACCATTTATTGTCCCTAAACAGAATTACCTATGCTCCTCATCGCCCTCTTCTCTCCAAAAAGACAGGTATAAAAATATCTGGATCCCATTGGATCACTCTGTGATTCTCCCCATGTACATGGTAAATAAACCTCTCCCTCTCATTAATCTATCTTAATTGTGAGTTGATCTTTCAGTGAACTTTCAGGGGAAATGGTAAGTTTTCTCTCCTCCCTAGAGAATATTCCCTTTAGGTAGTTCAGCTACTCTGAGATTGCCATGCTGTAAGGAAGTCCAAGCCAGCCATGGGAAGAGATGTATATGAGACAGAGAGACAAGAGATTCCTAACCAGTCCCAGCTGTTCCCAACCATCCTAGCCCAGGCACCATGCACGTTAGTGCAGAAGACTTCTTAGACATTCCAGGCCCAGCAGGTGCAACCTGAGAAGAAATGTGGAACCCAAATGAAAGATAAAATTGAAGCCCCAGACATAGAGCCTCAGCTAAACTGTTGTAACCTTCTAAAGCAGTTTGAGCCAACGTCAAACAAGCCATCACCACTGTGTCCTGTCAGAATTCCTGATGCACCGTATCATAAGCAGAGCTGCTGTTTTAAGTCACTAACTTTGCAGATGGTTTTTAGGCAGCAATGGATAACCAGAACAGTACATGAATATTTATATTATTTTCTGTAGTTCATATTAAAAAATAGCATTCTTAAATTTCTTAAAAATGTTTAAGAAAAAAGTAAAGAAGTAAACAAATACAAGATTTTTCGAAGAAGAATAAGCGTGAATCAGAGGGCCAGAATGGTTGAACCAAAAACACAGCTATCAACAGTCTTGTCAAAATTAAATGAATGAATGAAGTCCCTAAACATTAAGTTTCCTTTTTCTTTGAAGACACAGCTTGCATTTGTTTGCTTTTCTGTAATCTCAGCTGTGCTGCTAAGACACAAAAGTATTGATTCTTGCTGAAGTCTTAGTAACTGAAATAGGGAAGCATCCAGAGCTCCAACCAACATTAATTGCTTTCCCAAGTTTCTTTCAAAACTACTATTGCTACTTCTCCATCTATCCAGCCCAGATACTTAGACATTGTCTTGGATTCTTCTGTATTTGCAAATTCACCTTTTTGCTAAAATTTATTTGCAACCCAAAATAAAACTCAAGGGACTTTCATGGTCATAGCAGACAAGTGCAGAGCAGCAAAAAATTGGAATCGGGCCGGGTGCTGTGGCTCACGCCTGTAATCCTAGCACTTTGGGAGGCCGAGGCAGGCGGATTGCTCGAGGTCAGGAGTTCGAAACCAGCCTGAGCAAGAGCGAGACCCTGTCTCTACTATAAATAGAAAGAAATTAATTGGCCAACTAATATATATAGAAAAAATTAGCCAGGCATGGTGGCGCATGCCTGTAGTCCCAGCTACGAGGGAGGCTGAGGCAGTAGGATCGCTTGAGCCCAGGAGTTTGAGGTTGCTGTGAGCTAGGCTGACGCCACGGCACTCACTCTAGCCTGGGCAACAAAGCGAGACTCTGTCTCAAAAAAAAAAAAAAATAGAATCGCCCAACACACTCATTCCCAGTTGAACAAGGGATATCTCTCTGCCTTCCTGTTTCAAGTTTCATACTGTAAACAAATATCCTTTTCGCAGTCTATTTAGTGCCGTGTTTTTTGCATGTTTGTGCTTGTTGCTGGTGATTTCACTGTTTAAAATGACCCCCAAGCACAGTACTGAAGTGCTGTCTAGTGCTTCTTGCCAAGAAGACTGCAGTGTGCCTTATGGAGAAAACATGTGTGTTAAATAAGTTTTGTTCAGATATAAATTATAGCACTGTTAGCCATGAGTCCATAGTTAATGAACTAATATACACATATACATATATAAAATAAGGTATCTTTAAATAGAAACATAGACAAAACAAGGTTATATGTTGATCAGTTAACAAAAATATTGTGACTGGAGGTTTGTAGGTACTTAACCCTTTGTTTTCCCTAGGAGCAATGGTTCAGTATTCAATAATCCACTGTTCACGATGACTTTACAGAACATAACTACCATGAATAACAAGAATAGATTGTAATTTATTACCATGGCTCAGAGGACCATTTAGCAGAGTGATTGTGAAAGATCTGGCTTTCTGGAGATGTGAAGCCATTAAGATTTGAATATTAAAGTTCATGGGAATACATCTACACTGCACTCACCACATGGTACAGGCGGCATCACTGTTCTCATCCACTAGACTATAAACGTCATGAAGGCAGGGAACAAATCTGTTGTAGTATAGTCATGTCCCCAGAATCTATCATAGTCTTGGACACATAAATGCTCAAAAAATACCTGATTCAACCATTGATTTGTTCATTCATTTATTCATTCAACAAACTCCTATTGAGTCTCCCCTATGTGCCAGACTTTATGTCAGGTGATGGATGTGTACAGCAGTAATAAAACAGGCAACCTCTTGTCCTCGGGAGGGGAGCTTACATTCTGGTGGGAGGAACCAGGCAATAAACAAAAATTGAGAACCATATGTCAGGTAGTTATATGAAAAAAACCTAAAGAGGATAAGCAGAATAAAAAGTACTAGGTTTATGGGGGGTTGCTATTTTGGTCAAAGGCCTTTCTAATAAGGAAAACTTCGAAAAGAAAGCTGAAGGTAATAAGTGGGTGCTCCATGTGGATTTCTGGGATAAGTGCAAAGGGCTTGAGACAGGAGAGAACTTGGCCTGTTTGTGGGACAGCAAAGGTTAGAGTACACAGTGCCCGTCTTAAAAAAGAAAGAAAAGGTGCCTCTCAAATGAAGAATGAAAGTGTATGCCTGGTTCTGTAGAGATAAAAAACATTCTCACTTGTACTCTTCTGGTACGAGAGTCAAACAGCAATATTACATACAAATGGTATTTATAGTCAAATAGAATTACCCAGCAGTTGAGAAGGGCCATCCATTCTTAGAGTGCAGGAAGGGGGAAATACGATTTGATTGATAGAGTCTCTTCTTTTTCATATGAAAAGCTGTATAATACACAAAACACAATCCGGGGAGGATATTAACTATTTATGAAAGCCAAATATATGCTTTTAACCTATGACACCTGAGTCCTGAGCAAGAGGCTGTAACTGCTGTATTTTCAAACTTCTTTAAAAAAGAAAACCATATATTTCTAGAGGTTTTTATAGTCAATAGTATTCATTTATCATTTCTTATGTTACAGTGACCAATCAAATATGCAAATGAGTAATTATAAACCTGGACATTCACTAAGAGGTTATTTCCCATAGGTATTCATTTTTTTGATAAATAATAAGAGTTTATTTATTTTTATTGCTAAAAATACTAAGGTTAACATCATCAAAATTCAAAAAGTTAGATACAAAATGTTACAAACAAAATCTTTGTTGAAATACAGAACACCTAGGCCATGGTATAATTGTGTACCTGTAATTTAATCATTGATAACACAGTCAACACCTCTGATTTCCCTGGGGCTTTCCAGGTCTAAAGGAGTACTCCACTCTTGGCCTTCTGTTCTGGAATATGAGGGAAGGAAAACACCAGAGGAAAGACATTGTATTTTGGAGCGCCTGCACCCAGAAGTGCATTTGGCAAGAGCAATCTATTAAAGCTCATTACTTCTGCATATGAATAGAGGGATAGAGTCACACACATCCTGAATTACAACTTCATGGCAATTGTGTAAATTCAAATTGAATTTCAAGCCTAGAGCCAGCAGTTACAAGAATTCAAGTCCAGGTACCATAAAAAATCTACCAAGCAATTCCACCCAGAGCTTTAGCGTGGAACCACACACACCAGACTGATTGCTTCTCGGGCCAATGGCCAGAGGAAATCCATCCTCACTCCAAAAGCCTAAAAGCACTGCTTATTTACTTGAAAGAGGAGTAAAAGACCTGAGTGGCTGACACATGTGCCACGTTATGGAAATAACAATGAGCTAAAGCACCATATCCAGCCCCAAAGGCAAATATTATGGAAAAGAGCAGGGCCATTTATATTTTGCTTTGGCTTCCTCCTCCCTCTTGCTCTGCCAGAATTCTTTTCCGTGACGTTTGCCTTCAGGGTTTGGGGAGCATCATCTCTGTGGTCTGGCCTCTGCACATGAGTAAAAGTCAGTTTTCCATTTGCTAAATTATGTATGAGCTCAGCTGCTGTTTGAATTTTTTTTTATTGAATAATGTTTAAATAAATATTTTATAAGCAGCCAGAGGCTATTGGTATTTGATGCATTTCAGAAAATTAAAGAATACAATTTAAATTGTAGTTTCAAAAGACAAAAAGATCAACATGTCTTCGTTGACAGAACATTTACACTATAAATGCAGTGGATGGATTTAGACATTTTTTTAAAAGACTGCTTATCAAAAGATGTTTTTTGAATTTAGATAAATTCTCCTTTAATAAGGAAATAAAGAAAATTATAGTACTTCAATGGCTACTTTGATATTAAGTACCAAGTTGGATTTTGATGTTTTTGGTGCTTTCAGAATTAGATATAGGTTCTGGACTTTATTCTACATCTCAAATTGGATAGTTTACATTGTTTTAAAGCTGTTACTCTAGTAGTGGTTTTATCCATGGTAAATTTCCTACATTTTCCAAGTTTCCTATATTTCACCTAAAACTGAAAGTTTGGATTCTTTTTAAAAATAGGAACTTAGTGGCCGGGTGCGGTGGCTCACGCCTATAATCCTAACACTCTGGGAAACCAAGCCCCTTCTCTGGCCAGTCTCCTTCCTGTGGACCTGAGATGCCATTGAACCCAAAGGCATACAGTAAGTGCACAATAAATGTTGAAGACAAAAACTTTTCTACCAATGAAAAGTCCTCATAGATGACAACTACATATCTTCCTAATTCTTTTATATTGGGCTTTGTTCAGCTCCCAGAACACTGATAGCTCTCAGGTAGAGCCATCAGCCTGCTGTGTAGCTTGAACAATGCACCTCTCCACCTTCTGGAGAGTTGGAGCCATTAAGATTTGAATATTAAAGTTAAAGGGAATACATCTCTACACAGTACTCACCAGATGGTACAGCGGCATCACTGTTCTTGCTCACTAGACTATAAACATCATGAAGGCAGGGAACAAATCTGTCATATTATAGTCATGTCCCCAGAATCTATCATAGTCTTGGACACATAGTAAATGCTCAAAAAATATCTGATGCAATCACTGATTTGTTCATTCGTTTATTCATTCAACAAACTCCTATTGAGCCTCCACTGTATGCCAGACTTTGTCAGGTGATGGATGTGTACAGCAGTAATAAAACAGGCAACCTCTTGTCCTCGGGAGCTTACATTCTGGTGGGAGAAACCAGGCAATAAACACAAACTGAGAACCATAATATGTCAGGTAGTTATATGAAAAAACCTAAAGAGGATAAGCAGAATAGAAAGTACTAGGTTTAGGGACGGTTGCTGCTTTGATCAAAGGCCTGTCCACCTGCTACCTCTGTAGTTGCTCCAGCAGCCACCTTTCCTGTCCCCCTAACCAACAGAGATCTGGCTGTACCAACAACATGTGACATATTTTTTAAAAAAACTAATGTACTGAATTTACTTCAACAAGGAATGAGCCCAACCACAAAGAACTCTGTAGCTACAAGCCCTAACTTCTCTACTTATTAGCTGTTTGTCACTGAGCAAGTCATTTAAAATTTCTGTGTTCTCTCATACAGGATATAATGGTGTAAAACCCCATCTACCTTATGCAGTTCTTGCGAGGCTCAAGTAAGATCATTTATGTGAAATATCCTACAAATATGAAAAGCATAAAACAAAATAAGATATTATTAATGCTTAATTTTAGGGGCTTGCAGTTATCCATGTTTCTGAAACTGCCAAAAAAATTAAAAACTACATACCAATTGGCTTCCAGAATAAAGTCTCTCCTCCTTTTGTGTTCATGCATATAATCTCCATAAAAGGAGATGACAGGCCAGGCACAGTGGCTCATGCCTGTAATCCTAGCACTCTGGGAGGCCGAGGGGGGAGGATCATTTGAGCTCAGGAGTTTGAGACCAGCCTGAGCAAGAGTGAGACCCTGTCTCTACTATAAACAGAAAGAAATTAATTGGCCAACTAAAAATATATAGAAAAAATTAACCAGGCATGGTGATACATGCCTGTAGTCTCAGCTACTTGGGAGGCTGAGATAGAAGGATCTCTTGAGCCCAGGAGATTGAGGTTTCTGTGAGCTAGGCTGATGCCATGGCACTCACTCTAGCCTGGGCAACAAAGTGAGACTCTGTGTCAAAAAACAAAAAAAAAGGAGATGACAATACCTAAATTGTAAATTTCCTTGGTGAAGCTGAGTTAGGGACCTGCCTTGGAAGAGCAAGTGAAGCTATATGAGTCACAGGATGATTACTATGCACCTGTAGATACATGTATGGAAATGAAAGCAGAAAATCTAAATTGGTAACAGAATTTTCATTGAATTCTCTTAATTAACTCACTCCAGGGGGCGTGAATATAATCCAGTCTCCCCATTTCCGGAGGCTTCCAATGTGTCAAGAGTCTATCTATTTTTATTACACGAATTGCTTTACAAATAAGCACAGTGTGAAGCATCAATGCTTTATAAAAACTGCATTAATGCACTAACTTGTTTAGAAGCCAAGAAGAGCACAGCCTAGAGAGAATTTAATGGACCCAGCTGGAACTTTTTCCCAGCCAACACCACTGAACACCTGTTAACAATCATGAAGAAGTTACAGAGACTATCAAGCATTTAGTGTATGCTAGGGTAAAAACTGAGGAAAATTTAATAGAATGAAAATTAAAAATCTTTTGCTTGGAGACACTATAAGCAAATCAAAAATAAAACAAATTGGGAGAAAATATTTGCAACATATATCACACAGAAAGTTAATGTCCCTAATAAGAACTTCTCAAAATAGGGAACAAATGTTCTATTAAGTGTACAGAAAAATGGGCTAGAATCTGGAAAAGAAATGAAAATGGTTCTCAACCATAACCAAATGCAAATGCAAACTTTACTAATATATCATTTCTCACCCTTACCTAGGCAAATATGCAATCATTTGACAAAGTAATCTGTTGGAAAGGCCTGGGGAACTAGGAACACCCATATATGGCAATATCTAGCAAATAAATAAATTTTTCCCTTACTCAAGAATGCCACATTTAGGCTGGGCGTGGTGGCTCACGCCTGTAATCCTAGCACTCTGGGAGGCCGAGGCGGGTGGATTGTTTGAGCTCAGGAGTTGGAGACCAGCCTGAGCAAGAGCTAGACTCTGTCTCTACTAAGAATAGAAAAAAATTAATTGGCCAACTAAAAATAGAAAAAAATAAAGAAATAAAAAAATTTTTTTTTAAAAAGAATGCCACATCTAAAAATCTATCTCAAAGAAACACTGGCAAAAAATATGAAAACATATATGTGCAATGAAGTCATTACAAAGTTATTGCAATAGAAAAAGACAAAACGATCCTAATGTTTATCTAGAGAGGAGTGATGGAATAAACTATGGTCCAGTGATTCTCAAACTTTTGGTGCATTAGAATCACCTGGGACTTTGTTAATACACAAGTTGCTGGGCCCCAACCCCAGAGTTTCTATTCAACAGTCTTGGGTGGGGCCTGAAAATTTACATTTTTAACAAGTTCCCAGGTGGTGGTCCAGGAACCACTACTATAGTATGCCCACATACTAGGATACTTAGCAATGGTAAAAAGGGAGAAAGAGTATCACTATATATAACCATTTGGGACTCATTTGGGGGTTATAGTTGTTAGTAAAGCAAAGCAAAGTAGCAAAAGTGTGCATTGTATACTACTACTTATTTAAGAAAGGAGGCACACAAATATATATTAACATATATATTTGCTTATATTCAGAAGATACACCATAAAATAATTTAAAGTGGTTATCTATGGGGGAGAGAGCAAATAGGGTAGAGTTGAACTGTGGGGCAGAGGAACTTTCCTGCTGGTCGGGAGGTAGAAGATAGCAGGGAACTGCGCCCAGGGTGGGGCAATCAGCTAACAGCACACTTCTGCTTCTGTTTATCACTTGCTTGCTACACTGCTCCGCTGAGCTTCATGGGATGAAACAAAACGCAAGGCGTGAACGCCCAATCAGGGGAAGGAATGGCTTGCCGCCGGCGGGCAACCAACCCGCTAATCATTTTAAAGGGCAACAGCAGGGAGCCAATCATTTTAAAGGGCAACAGCAGGGGAACCAATCATTTTAAAGGGCAACGCATGATCCCCACGTGATCAGCTTGCGCACCATGGGGATAAAAGGCTTGCTGTTCTAATCGGGGTCCTTGCCTGCGGGAGTGACCACTGCGTTGGTTCTCTGGGGTTCGGACCCTGGCTAGCCAGAAAATAAAGCTCCTCTTGTGTGATTGCATCCTCGATGTCTCTGCTTTTCTGTCTGGTGGGGCTGTGGAAGGTCAGTCCCTAACAGAACTTTTCGGTATATACTTTGTTTTATAGATTTGATTTTGGAAGAATGTAAATATTTTACTTAACTATAAAAAAAATAAAATTTTAAATCCCTTTAAAAAAGGATATCAGACAAATGAACTTAAATGTGTATCCAGTTGATGGCAGAACTACACACAGCAGAAGAATTCCAAATAACTTTAAAACACACTTGACTCTATAGCCCTAGTAGAATATGTCCCACCAAAAAATAAAACAAAATGAAATAAAATGAAACTTCAAATTCTTTTTAGTGATCATATTGTTTGCAGTAGTGTAGGTTTTGCTATTAAGAGACTACTATATGTGATAAAGCAAATGAGTAATTGTTGGATATTGTTAATATTTTTAAACATTTTCACTGTCATTGATAGATAGGATCCTTGGCATGGGAGAAAGGAGATACAGATAAAAGAAGAGTTTATGTATGAACATTGTAACCTTGAATTTGAAGTATCAGTATGAACTCATAATTTATCTTCTTTTAAAAAAGCAACATAAAACATTTCTTAGCTCTGTTCCCTACAAAGGCCACCCAGATAGTGTTCTCTAAATACTATTTCCCACTAAAAGGAAACAGGGCTCCTTGAAAAAAGCGACTGATCCCAAGTTTTATGCAGGAAATGTACAAGATTGCAAGAAAACTCTCAAAGACAATTGCATTCTGCCAAAAGGACCCAGAATTGACTTAAAGAGGCTCCCACTAGCCATAGTTTGAGGCTCAATGAGAATAATAACTGCAATGGCATGAAACACATCAAATATGTTTAATTTCGTGCATTCATAATAATATTAAAAAGGAAACGAAGAAAAAGATGGCTGAATTAAGACGTGCCAGTGAATAAAGGAGAAAAATTCAACCATTTATCCTGCCTTTCTTATACAAACTGTACCACTGGGTAATAAAGTAGACGATGAGGAGAGACCTCTCTTTATAGAAATATTCCACAATAAATTTGAGTTGGAACATCGCCATTTTGTAACCCGTAATGAGATCATGGATTAGGTAGGTAACAATTGTCAACATCTGGTAATATCACCAGTTGAGAGATAACCAAATATCATGTGCCTCTTAGTGAAAGAACAAAGTGGTCTCTTCCACCTCCCCACCAAAACAAACCCAAACCTGAGTCTGATTAAGACTCTGGATCCAATGACCAATTTACAGGAAATGCAAAGGACAAAGGAACATGTTCAACAACATATTGTTAACATTTGCTGATTGTATTTAACAGGAATATAATTAGAAAAATCCACACTGTAGGAAACAACCACAGAAAACTAGTTTCTTCAACAAATTGCAAATAAAAAAAGAAAGAAGATAGAGATGGAACCTATAGATTAAAAGAGAGTTAAGAAGTATATCAACCAATTATACTGAAGGGACCTAATATGTATCCTAATTCAAATGGAGATAGGGAGAAAGAAAGAGAGAATTGGAAATTTGGTCACTGATTGGTAATTTGACATTAAGAGTTATTGTTAATTGTTTTTCTTTTTTGGGCTACATACTGAAATGTTTACAAATGAAATAATATCGTTTCTGGGATTTGCTTCAAAATAATATGGGAGGGGGAAAAGTGAGAAGTGTAGTGGTGTACTGATAAATGCTTAACAATCAGCTTGGGGGGGATAGAGTGGGGGTCTCATTTGTATTATTTGTGTCATCTGCTGATCACCATGGTGTGCATACTCCCACCGTGACACATTTCAAGCTATCAATGTTGGGTGACAGAACTTGGACCTGGGAAGAGATGTTCACAATCCATTCTCTCCAGGTGGTGTGAGCTGGCCGCAGCATACCACTGGAGAAGTCGTATAGGTTAAACAAGGTTGGTCATGAATTGGTAAGTTTTTCACTCAGGTGGTCAAGTAATTTCATTACACTATCCTATAGATTCAAAATTCTCCACAATAAAATATATTTAAATGCAATTATCAACTTTCCTTCCCTAAGAAAACATGCAAAATGGTTGGGATATATTAGACACCCAAGGAAATAAGAAGTTGGAGTTTTCTCAGTTAAGTGTTGTTTTGTACTCAAGTATGTTTTCAATCTTCATCTCAATAAGGAATCCTTGCTTGCTCTTGCTTTTTCCTGAGGCACAGAGATAAATGAGTGAAACGATATTTGTTAAAAGTTATGTACATATTCTTATATTCTTTTTGAAGAATATAAGAAATATTCTCTTTAATCTTATATTCAGTTTATATTGTCTTTAAACTGATGGACAAATAACATTAAAAAAATGCTTAGGGCTGGCATGGTGGCTCACGCTTGTAATTCTAGCACTTTGGGAGGCTGAGTTGGGAGGATTGCTTGAGGCCAGGAGTTTGAAGTTGCAGTGAGGTATGATGATGCCACTGCACTCTAGTCTGGGCAACAGAGTAAGACCTTATCTTTAAAAAAGAAAAAATTCAGAACTGAAATGGTCAACTTACTACAATAAAATTAAAAACGTCAAGTCTCTTTTCAATTCTTTGTCTATGTCTCTATTTTCTTTTCTGCCCACCCTATATCTACTTATTCTATTGATATTAAAATAAAACTCGCTATTTACCATATTACTAATTCAAGACTATTTAAAAATCTTATTTTCTTATACAGTTCAGCCAATTCTAATTAAAATAGAAACATTAAAAACTCATTTAAAACTAGAAATTAAATTAAAAATTTAAAATCAAACTGCCATAAAAACGACTTTACCTGGCCAGGCATGGTGGCTTATGCCTGTAACCCCAGCACTTTGGGAGTCCAAGGTGGGAGGATCACTTGAGCCAGGAGTTTGAGGTTGCAGTGAGCTATGATCGAATAACTGCACTCTGGCCTGAGCAACAGAGTGAGACCTTGTCTCTAAAAATAGATAAATAAATGGAAAAATAAATAAATTAACCACACAGGTGTGGCAAACATGTGCCTGTAGTCCCAGCTACTTAGGAGGCTGAGGCAGGAGGATTGCTTGAGCCCAGGAGTTCAAGGTTGTAGGGAGCTATGATTGTGCCACTGCACTCCAGCCTAGAAGGCAGAGCCAAGACCCTGTCTCTTACATAAATAAATAAATAGGAAGCCCAGCCTTTTGGAAAGGTAAATCCAGTTTTCTGAATTAACTTACACACTGCCATTATTTACAAGTTATAACCCTATTATCATTCAGTTAACATTTCAACTTCTAGTTCCTAGTTTTGTGTTTATCATGTGTGTGTTTACTGGGGTGCAATCCCAAGGAAGGAGGAAGAGCCCATGCAAGGGTGCACCACCAAGCAGGTCACAGCGTGACTGATTGCTTCATCTGGTGGAAGTGTCTTCTGACAGGTCACATAAATGAAGCCAGCTCGGGACAATCCACTCATGGAAAGAAATGCAGAGGAATTTACCCACCAGCTTCTGTTCCCACTGGGCAAAGTTTCACCCAGTGGGGCATCAACTCCCCTCCCCTACCAGGTTGCTCATGCACGGGCCCCCAGCAGGTCCCATATCATCTCTCACCTCGGCGTCATCAATGTAGAATCTCTGGGGCAGGAGGCAAGAGAAGAGAAGTGACAGGGGAGAAGCCCATGTGAAGATGCAGGCAGAGGGTTTTGCAGCCACAAGCCAAGGAATGCCCTGAGTCACCAGAAGCTGGAAGAGGCAGGGGAGGATTCTCCTAAGGAGCCTTCGGAGGGAGAATGGCTTTGCTGACACCTTGACTTTGGACTTCTGGCCTCGAAACTGTTAGAGAATAAATTCTGTTGTTTAAAAAAAATAGTTTTTACTATTTTACAAAATATGCAGACATCAACTTGAACTCTTTTTGATGAGAAAGTTAGGATGCAAAGAGAAATTGTTATCATGAATTTATTTCAAAATTCCTATTTGCCATTATCCGATTGCCTCTTAGGCATCACCAGATATTCTTGAATCAGAATACTTTACACTGACAATTTACACTGAATTTTACAACCTAAAGAGCAGCTTTTTATTTCCTGCCGCAATTTTTAACTTCTCTAGGTTTCTATCTCCATTGTTCTTTTTTCTTTAAAGATTCACCTGAAAAGGACCTAATGCAACATTTTATAATGCTACATCATTCACTCTATTAATCAAGATATTAATATTAAACCTAGAGAGAGCAATTCGACTCAAGCCCCACTTGGAGCGTCACATATTATTACTGTGACCTCTTTATCTATAGAGTCTCAGCCAGTTTTCATTGAATTGTTTCATTGTGTGATTGCTCATGTTTAATCTGAATTATTTAAAATTGCATGAAGAATTGGCAAATGATTTGATAGTGTTTGAATATAACTTCCTTCGCATAAGGGAGTGATTTCATAATTCTATCAAAATTGCCATTGGTTTTGTCAGAAGCAATTTGTTTGACAGAACACATTGCTTACTCCAAATTACAATTCCCGTAGCCTTTAGATATTTGCATTTTCTTTTAATGTTTCTGACATTATGTTATGGTGCTGAGCTCAAACAGATTTATGGCTGGTCTTTCATAGTTAAACACGATGGCACATTACTCTATGTATAAGAACAGCTGAAAAGACTGAAGGTGATCTGCAGTGCTCAATGTCTATCCGAATGTTACAAACAGGATATTTATCAAGTATTCTCCAACTAATGGCTACCACTGTTTGTGTGTTTGGTTTTGCTCTGGAGGCTGCATGAAATTTACATGGGACTTGAGCCACCTGAGTCTCCAATTATGGCATCTCAACATAATCTGCCGGCTATTGCCAAACCCTAGTAATACTCCGCTAGGCCCCATAACTCACATTAGTATTTTTCCTGGGCCACTTTCATTTGGTTGTTACAATTCTGGGGTATCTTCTTGCCATAATCATTACTGCTGTTGTTACCATTTCATTGTCATTATAATCACCATCATCGGGCAATGTATCCTAAACTTTTATATATGCTAGATTGGCACATATCAAGAGAAGGCTCATTTTCTGCTCTTGAGAGAAGATAAAATGTTTGAGTAGATTTCTCTTATCACTAACCTTGTTTCAGCAATAATTACTATTTATTACTATGTGCCATGTGCCATTTTAAGCAATTTACAAACATTATTTTATTTAATCCACAAAGTAAGAACTTTTATCTGCATTTTACAGATAATAATTGAAATTCCCTGAGGGTAGGTCATTTCCTCAAGTTCACACAGCAGTGCGTGGATGGAGCCACCCTTCGATTCTTGGGGGCAAAGGATATGTAGGTACGGAAGGACTTCTGACCACAGGGGACAGAAGAGGGAGCTGCAGTCCATATTATGTTTATAGAATGTGGAGGAGGAAGCAGATCAGAAGCTCAAGGAGAGAGAAAAGATAATCTCCCAAGTGGACAGATGGAAGAGAGCAGGGAGGGATAAAGGAAAGAGTAGCATCGTTACAGAGGTCTTAACTTCATTAATATAAAATATCCCCCTTGGTTTTATTTAATACTTTTTACTTTGATGCAAAATTCATCTGATTTTAATGCAACAGTTATATTGAATGAGTTGAACTTAATAGAGTACAAGAATAAGAAAAATTTATTCTATCTCATCACTCCTTAGTAAACTTATTCCATCAAACAGTCCATTCCTTGCCCTTGGATAAAATTTTAAACAGGTCTCATAGTTCTTTGGATCACTCTTAGATAACATATAAATTGTCTTTTTGTTTTGACATTTGGAGGCCCAATCCAGTGTAATCATGAGAACTTCAATCTCCACTTGACTTGGTTTCTCTCTTCGGCAGGCTCCGGTCTGCTTCAGTGATGGAAGTCTATAGCGACTCAGAAGGATGTGGTCAATTTGTCTCTTCTTTCCTCACCAGCTGAGGAAGGAGGGTCTGGAGAAAAGGGACATGGTATTGTCTACTGGTATTATTGTGACCTGGATATTCCAAGCTGACTTTTTCTGTTGAGGAGCAATTTTGTGGGTTTCTCAGAGATATCCCCAGTAGAAACATCCCACTGTTGATCCATCAATACCAGCTGGCTGCTTCCCACTCTTCCTCAGCTCTGGACTCCAATGGGTGACCCTTGAGGTGGGTGCCATCATTCCTCCTAGTAGTTCTTTGGGGGCAGATTCCTTTTTGAGACTTCGGGACAGTTCCCCCACCCCACCCCTACCTTACATGGTTCATTGTTGGTACAAAAGAAACATACACACTGCCCAGCTGTCACGCACCATCAACAACTGGGGCTCACTCCCTAAGCCGCCTTGCCTCTCTCTCCTCAGTGACTTCACGCCAATCTTGCCACAGCTTCTTATATAGCCCATATGCTCTCATAGTTCCAGGGACACCTGGAACTACACTCTCTAAACTCTCTACACACCTACACTCTCTAAATGAAGCCCTCCTCACTTGATAAGAGGTGAAGGGGAATCACACTCTCCCCTTTCCCCATGGCAGTGGAAGAAGTACACAGCAACTCTCTACAACAACTCATCCCAACAACTCTCTACAAAGTGCACCTTTCACTCCCTATTCTGTTGGAGGCTAGAGAAACAAACAGCCTTACTACTGTGAGCATGTCCTGCTTGGAGGGTCTGGTACCTCACCTTAGATTGTAGATGTCTTAGCCCATTTTTTCCTACTATTACAGAATACTACAGAGTGGGCAATTTATGATATATAGAAATTCAGCAGCTCATGATTCTGGAGGCTGGGAAGTCTAAGAGCAAGGGGCCAACATTTGGCAAGGGTCTGCTACCCTATTTCTCTTTATAATGGTTTTCCTTCTTATTTCAACATTCATATTTTTAAAAATAAGTGCTGACAATGTGTGGGATTGATCAGAATCCATATCCCCCTAAATAAATAAGAACCATGACAAGTTTTTATTGCCCTCAACACTCAACCAACTCCCTCCTATCACCCAAGTTGATTTCATTTTTTTGGATTTTAATTACAGATTGTTACTAATCTTTTACAACCTATACTAGTTTCCAGGCTATGTTGCCAATTTTATAATGTTGTTTTCCTAAACAGACCCTAAGCAAATGATTGTCTTCCTCTGGACTCCACTTTCTCTTTGCTTTGAAGAGTTTGTAAAATCAAATTGGGGTGGTTATCACTGGGAGACACAGAGAGCTCAGTGGGTAAGACCCACGTGGCTGAGCCTCAGCTCCTGTCCTCGCTCTCCACTGCACACTGACAGGAGCATTTGTTACTCTCCTTGTTCTCTGACCTGCTGCCATCTGAACATGGCCCTGACCACTCTCCAAGCCCCTCTGCTCCCATCCCAGTTCTTACTCTTTATTTTACTTCCCAGCACCTTCTGTTACGTATTTAATGACTTCAGTGTAGGATGTGTGATGGTGGGGAGTTATTTGCCTGTTTCACCGCAGCCATAAAGCAATTTTCTTCCCTAGGCCAGGCCCATGAATCCCCTGCCTCAGTCATTGTCCCCAAAGTAGGAAGTCACTCGCTCCATTGAACCTTAAGGCTCTCGATGTTTTGAGATCCTGCTTGTCCTGCTCCACATGGTCAGGCAGAGGAGCATCCTTGCGGCTTATCATTACAGCCACCCTGTCTATTGCCTTTGATTTTTGCGTGGCTAATAATTCTCCAGGCCATAGGAGATGCCTTTTCCAGCTCCCCAACCTCAGGCTCTGGCACCCTCTAGTGGCCACTGACAGGCATGCAATTTCAGCACTGCTGGGCCCTCGCCGCCTCGCCATCTTCCTCAAAGGTACCACCTCCCACCGGTAACAATCCAGCTGCAGGAGCAAGGACTGGAACTGAAAAGGAGAACTCAGCACACTCTTACCAT